TGGGAACTTCCTAGGACTTGTGAGTTGTTCACTTCCTGAGTCTTAACAGCTTCCCTTTAGAACTTTCCGTGTCTTAAAGAGCATCCCACCAGTATGGAATACTTCAATTCATAAGAAATTTCTTACATGAAAGGTGATTTTTTTCTAAAGTTAACCAGGGATACATCTAAGACCTTCCATGAGCTGCCCTTTCCATGGACCCTGAGGTTCCAGAATACTCAGGTCTCATGGACATGGGTTTTGTAAACTCACAAAAGTGAACGAAATTGATTAAAGCTTCTCCTTTCCTTCCACCCCAGTGTAGCCTCTCCATACTTTATTAGTTTCCTCTGACATTGAAATGGCTTTGCACAATTTGAGGAGCTGGCCAGGGGAGAAAGATATTTAATGTTGACTCGATGGGGTATTTCACAGTCCTCTTAGCATATATCGAGCTTCTTACTCATGGCTGTTCGGATGTAGTGATGACTTCCAGGAATGCAGCTGACTACCCCCTACTGATCCATTGCCATGTGGAGACCCAGGCCTCAGGCAATAGCATAAATGTGTCCCTTGGCTCCAGCCCCAGAACCATAGAGATAGGGGAGAAGAAAACAGAATGTGCCATGTGTGGCAGCTGTATCTGATCTACAGTGTTTTGTCACTCCTCAGATGTATTGAACTGAAAGGAAAGGATTGTGTTCTCCTTGATGCCTGATCAAAATGGAAGTTCTTCCAGGTCACCAAGCAGGGGCAATTAGTAGAGTATAGTTTGTAGAGAGACTTGGGATCTGCGGCTGACTATGATACTGGTGTGGGATGTGCTCTTAGGATGGTTGGGTGTAGGACTGTGATGATGATGATGATGATGATGATGTGTGTGTGTGTTGTGTGTGTGTATGTGTGTGTGTTTGGTATCATACTGTATGTATACACATATGTGCAGTGTTCATATAGACTTGATTCCACACCAATGAAGGGCTTATAGGAAGCTTAATGCCTTGGACATCACTAGAGTTGCAGAGTTTAGGGGCTCTTAGTTCCACCTACCCATGGGCAGGGTTTCCATGCCTAAAGTGCAGAGTTTCAGAGACCTGGGGGTGGGGTTTGCTAGTGATGGCACCCAGGGTTATTATCATTGGATGACCCACCGATGGCCTTTCTTCTTCCCCGAGGAGGCCTGGGGAACAGTGAGGATGGCATATAGAAGAAAGTTTACCCAGAGCTGTGTGAACCAAGTCAGTGGGACACGGGGCAAGCCAAATGCCCACAAAGCAAGAAGTGTCTCAAAAATGTGTGGGCTCCAAGGCCAGCCTACAGGTGACAAAAGTATTTCCTGAGGTCACTGGGAATGGGTGATGATGGGGCCACAGTCAGGGAGAGGGTATCACTTTTGAGTTCCAGGATTCCTTCCCTTTGGGCAGAATATTGGGTTGGCTTCAGCTCCAGAGAGCTGCAAATCTACCCAAATGTTGGTTTGGCTGTCAGGCTGGAAAATTCTTAGGGTTAAAAATCAAATAAGAATAATAATACTGCAAGTCTCGAGTGTAGTTTATACTTAAATTATGCTCCCAGATGCCTATGAAGTCAATCCAAAACATAATTAATATACATTTTTTTCCTCCATAGAGGGCAAATTTTGATGTAAGACTACTCAGGCATAATGCAACAAGCATATATTTGCCACTCAGAAGCAACATGAAAGAGGAAATATTTTCCCATATGGGCAGTAAATGCCCAGAGTGGACACACAGGGTCTCCAGTATGGGAGCCCTAAGTCTGAGCATGCACACACTGCCACCAGGTCCCACTCCTCCACCTGCTCTCCACCCCTGTCCTCAGCCCTTGTGTGTCTGGCTGTTTCATTTCTCATTCTCTCCCCCTCTGTGTCCCACTGACTTTGAAGGATGACGCCCAGCATTTCTACCTGTTCCCCATACGGGAGGAAAGTTGAGACATGGAGAGAAGTTTGCTGGTCTGAGTAGTGAGATAGAATGAGCTCAAGAGGAAGAGGGACAGGAAAGGGCAGGATATAAATGTTGTTTGTGCAGAGGCGCATAAGACCCACGTGTCAGAGGGAGTGTGTTTTCTATGGGCTTCTGGAGGCTGTTGACCTTGGGTCCTGCTCTGTTCCTGCCAGTCTGGGGCCCAGAACGGTGGCTGCAAATACATGCAGAATCTGACTGGATCAGGCAGAGCCTAGGAAGGAAGAGCAGTGCTGTGCCCCCAAATACTACCTGAGCCTGAGTATGTAGCCGGCTCTCCTCCATCTGGGCTCGTCTAGCCATGCCTGGACAAGCCTCCATACAAGCTGCCTTGCCTTGAGTAAACTTCCTGTCAGAGCCACAAGTGGCCTCTGCCACCTCCTCCCTCCCACCTCCCCAGCTATGCTAGAGCTAGGACAAATGTGAAGACTGAGTTGTCCTTGAGGATAAAAAGTTTTGGTTGTTTGTTGTTGCAGTGTGTGTGTGTGGCATGTGCACACCATGACACCATGAGAGGCCTCAGGAAGATGTCAGGTGTCCTGTCACTCTCTGCCTCATTCCTCTGGGACAGGGTCTCTCACTGAACCTGAAGCTAGATGGCAGTCATTAATCCTCCTGTCTCCACTGCCAGTTCCCCAGCCCTGGGGTTACAGACACGCTATGTGGAGCTGCTGTCTTTTTACTTGGATGAGAAAGACTCAGACTCAGGTCCTCAGACTCGTCCAGCGAGCACTCTTACCCACTGAGCCTTAGCCTTCCACCTGCTTGTTTATTTATTTTAATATTGAATTGCTTCACGCAGTACATTTTCGTCACACTCTTCCCCCTCCACCTGTTTTTCAAGACAGGCTCCCTCACGTCCTGAAACAAGGCGGGGGTGGGGTGGGGTGGGGGTGGTGATCTACCTGTCTCCATTCCCCGGGAGCACACGTACAGACCACTGTGATGGTTTGAATGAGAATGACCCCCACATAGGCTCACATATTTGAATGTTTAGCCCCCAGTTTGTGGAAGGAGGGATTAGGAAGTCTGGCCTTGTCAAAGGAGGTGTGTCACTGGGGCTGGGCTTTGAGGTTTCAAAAGCCCACGCCATCCCCACTTAGCTCTCTCTTTCTCTCTGCCTCGTGCTGATCAGATGTGAGCTCTCAGCTATGGCTCCAGCTCCATGTCTGCCTCCTTCTGCCTGGCTCCCTGCCATGATAGTCATGAACTCCAATCCTCTGGAGCCCCAAAATTAAATGTAAGCCACCAAACCTGAATATTTACATGGATTCTGGGGATCAAAATTGGGTCCTCATGCTTGCAAGACAAGTGCTTTATAAACTGAACTATCCCCACAACTCCAAGAAAACACCTGGACTGGAGAAATGGCTCATTGGGTAGGAGCACATACTGTGCTTGCACAGGCCCGAGTTTGGTTCCCAGCACCCATACTAGGCAGGTCACAACTGCCTGTCTGTACTTTCAGCTTCAGAGGAGTCTATGCCTCCGGTCTTTCTGGGCACCCTCACTTACGCACAGATACCCACATAATTTAAAATAAAGTAAGTCTTTTTAAAAAATCTTAAAGTTGGATGTTGGTAACCAGTCATGAGCATGTCCTGTCTGTCTCCTCTATGGATCTGTCCTAAAGCATGGACTGACAGAGAAGTCTTCAGTCAATGGGGTGGTCTCCTTGAAACAATTCCTTTACCTTTGGCCCTTATTTCTAAAGCTTTGTAAACCAAACACAGAAGTTTAGGCTCTGATGAGCTACTTTTCCTTGTTCTAAAGTCTGGGTGAGGAGCCCAGGGCCTTCTCTGAGGGCCCACTGTACTTCTAGGGAGTCCCATGGCCAGGGGCTCTCAGACCTCCAGGTTGACAACAGCGAATTTGGATGTCCCATCAGGGAGTTCTGAGCTCTTCCTGTGGCCAGAATCTGTCCCACAGTGAAGTTGGTGAGGATTTCACTACCTCCAGCCCGTGAAAAAAGGGCTGCTCCTTCTGAGATGTGATGGCTGGAAGCTGAGAGCTCCCCTCCCTTGGTGACTGGGGAAACCCAGTCTTCCTGGACCACCTCCTATAGGAATGCATGAAATAAGAGTGACAGGCTGCCTCACTTGTCTGAAGCAAAGGAAGCAGCATCCCACCTCCTCATCATCTTTTCCTGAAGATCCCACCCACTGCTCCATCCTGGGCAGCTGATATCTGCCAGCTACCCACCCTCATCTTATTCTTCTTCCACAGACTCAGCTCCATTCTGTTCCTTGTAGTCAGCTTGGTGAGTTCTCTGTCCTAAAGTCACTCAGTGTCCAAAGCTGGTCAGGCCCCAGATCTAGAAGTTGCTGTCATTAGAGAAGAAACTAAGGAGTTCCTTGGAAGGATGGAGAACCCAAGGACATGCTACATTGGAATATGTAGCCAAAGGTGCAGATAGAACCTTCTAGATGAAATGCCACTCCTGGGGCAACTCCCAGAATTACTAAATTGCTTCACTACCCACCCACCCCCAATGCCTCCCACCTGAAGTGCCCCAAACTTGAAATTTAGAATGATCTTGCAAGACAAGTCAGTGAAAATTCTTACCTACTTATGGCATGTTGGCATCTGGATTGAATTTAGCATCTGCAGAGCTATCAGGTACAAGAGGAACATGGCATGGCCTAGCCATGGCTCATACTCCACCCAAGACTTACAATATTGAAGAAGTAATTGAAGGAGTCCTGGAGCTAACACTCATTATTGTGGGGTTTGGGCAAATGGCTCCATTGGTAGCTTGGTGACCTGGGATTCAATTCCTTGAACCCATGTAAAATGTCAGACACTGGCATGTGTTTGTAGTCTCAGTGCTGGGGAGGGAGGAAGTGAAAGGCTGGTCCCTGCAGCTCATTGCCAGCCAGCCTAGCCTACTTGGCTAGTTCCAAGCTAGTGAGAGACTCTGTCCCATGAGGGGACTTCCAGAGATACCCCACTTTGTCCTACTGCCATATCTACAGCAGAAGTCCAAGACAGAGAAGGCATGCCCCTCCCTCATATTGAAAAATAACCAACCATGGCTTTAGACTCATTGTTTCATAGCTCTTTTGGCTGAATTCTGAAAATAGGTGCACAGGTATCCCAGTAGTTCCCCAAACTGGGAAAGCCAGTGTTCCATCTCTGGCACAAGCAAACCTCTTGCCCTTCCCAGTGAGACCTTGAAAGTCTTTCAATGTGTGTGATGCCTGACCTGTCTTCCAAGGACGTGTCTGCTGCTCTTACATCAGTGTCAAGGGGAGCACAATTCAACAAAGATTGAGATCCAGGGCTGGGGAGATGACTCAGTTGGTACAGTGTGTACAGCACAGGTATAATGTCGCAGCTTCTTCTCCTGCTGCTGAGATACAGTTCTCCAGCAAGAGCATCTTAAAGATGGAAGATTTGTTTCTGCTCAGAGCTCAAGGCACCGTCTGTCACACTGAGGAAGTCAAGGTGGCATGGAAAAGGTGGTCACATCACATCCAGGGAGCAGAGAGAGCTCAGCTTCCTTCCTGCATGAACACATTCATGAAGAAAAGATCTCATTCATGAATGGTGCCACGTGTAGTGTGTGAATCTTCCTGCATCAAGATAATCCCACATAGGTCTGTCCAGTGGTCATTCCCCCAGGTGATTCTAGAGTCTGTCAAGATAACAATTAACATTAAAATCACATGTGAGGACCTGTGTTTGATTCCCCATCACCCATACAAGAAAGCCAGGAATAAAGACATGCTCCTGTAGTCTCAGTGCTGGGGAGCTGATACTGGGGGACCCCTAGAGCCTGCTAGTCAGCTACACATTCAGTGAGAGACCCTGAAAAATGAGGTTGGGAGCAACTGAGGAAGACACTCAACATTGACCTCTGGTTTCCATACACACTCACATGCATGCACACATGCAACTGCAGACACACACACACACACACACACACACACACACACACACACACACAATTTACTTCCCTGCATCATCTTTGTCCCCACAGGCACTCCACCCCCCAAACTCTTCCCTCTCCTTGTATTCACTGCAGGTCCAGCACCTCAGCTCCTCATGACCTAGGCACACCACAGTACTTCACCATGGTCTCTCATGCTCTCTCTACCAGCCTTCCTGCGGTTCATTTCCCTGATTTCTGTCTGAATCTGGAATCTGAGGGATTGGCTGTAATTCTGGTCCTGTTGCATGGGGCCAGTGCAGCTGTGTGGCCTTGGACAAATGGCCTCACCTACTCTGGGCCCTGATTTCTTTTTTGTGTTCTAAAGATGAAGAGCAAACCTGTGTCCAGGTTTTCGATGAGGAACAAAGGGGACAGGGCATGTGAAAAGACTGGCCCTGCCTGCTGAGCCCCGTGCTCCATGCTGCTGTGGTACATGTTGCTTTCTCCTCTCTAGTTCTGTTGGCCTCACGCTCCACCTCTGGCACACCCCAGCATCTGAATGTGAAGAGTGACTCTCAGACAAGGCCTTTGCCTCCCCACTTCCTAAGACTCTGTCAGTCTCTTTCAACATTTGCAGCTGGCTGTGCTCAGCTGTGGATGAGTACACACTGGGCAGTCAATACTCAAGGGGGGATGACACCCGGCGGTAGTCCTCTATAGATTCCACGCTGCTGAACTGACCACAGGCTTCCTCTGCCCCCTAGGGAAAAGCTGGCAGTTGTTCCTTTGGGTCAAACATCTGAACCATGGGTCACTTGGGCATGGGGGTTGTCTCAGGCTGTGTTACTCTCTCTGGGCAGATGATCAAGAGGGTCTCAGTCTCCTTGACTGCGCTGTGTCCCCCACCCATTAGGTTTCTTTATTTCTGGTTGAGACTGGAAACACATCATGTTGCCAATTTGTGAGCTAGGACAGCTGTCACTCCCCAGAGTGGCTTCTTACGGCACAGGTCTCTTTTATCCCTCTAGGTTGTCTGTCTGTCGGCAACTTGTCATGTGTCTGCAAAGCGCTCAGAGTTCCTCAGAGGAAAGTGCGACTCAAGCACAGGGTGTTACTGCTGGTGCAACTCATTATTCCATAACGCAGAACCTTTAAGCTACAGGAAGTGTGGAAAGCAATTATTTGCTCTGCTTTGGCTCTGCCTGAGTCTTGTAGCAAAATGCCGTATCAGGAAAACAAAGTCATAGGAGTAATAATCACACTGTGTGTTGATAGGCCTCTGGTCTTTTCACAGCCACCAGGGATTATATTCACTGATCCCCTGGGGTTATATAGATGAACACTATTGTCCCTTGGCTTAAACACAGGATGGGGTGGCTGAAAGAAAGAGCCCAAAATACAGGGCTTAGCTGACACTCCAGTAGCTCTGGAATGTTCTTTTGCTCATAGAACAGCATCATGAGAATTGACATATTTGGCTGTCTGGTAGCTGTTAGAAGGGTAAGGGTGGCCAGGTCCCTCCCCAGTCCTTCTGCAAGTAAGTCCTCTTCATAACACCTGCCACGCAGGTACCACTGTATACCTAGAATGTGGATTGTGACTGAACTGAGAGTCTCACAGAGACAGATGCCCCAGTGACCTGGTACGTCCCATCACAGTTGGGAGAAAGTTCCTACCTCTCAAGACTGGTAGGGTTTCAGGGACAATCTTAGAGACAATCTGCTCACCCTATTTTTCTAGAAATCAAGACTGTCCGCAAACCATATTCTTTCACATAGTTAAGTGGCAAGAAATGCGGAATGTCAGGACGAAGTTGGTTTGAGAATTGTGCAGACCTTGGCTAAAATCCGAGTGAACTGACAATAGTTATGTAATATTGAACAGAGTGTCTACCCAACCTGTTTTGCCCTCAGTAAAATGGCAGTTAATGCCTTCATTGAAGAGCTATGAGTGTTCTTACTCATGTGTTGCAATAGACATGGTATGGGAATGGGCAGGAACCGTGCCTTCTGACAGGTAGGGAGAGATTGTGTTAGGGTATTTCACTGGGAGTTTGAAATCACCCATGGTGAGTGTTCTAGTTCCTTTTCTGTTGCTCTGAAAACTACTCTGATCAAAAGAAACTTAAAGGAGGAAAAATTTTAATTAGCTTGCAATTCCAGGTTATAGTCCATCTTTGCAAGGAAGTCACAGTACCAGCAGCTTGAGACCCTGGTCATATCACACTCACAGTCAGGAACAGAGAAGTGGATACATCCATGCTTGCTACTCAATTATCTGTCTTCACGAATGCAATTAAGACCTCAGCCTAGGGGATGGTGCTGCCTACAGAGGGCTGTATCCTCCTACTTTAACTAATAACCAAGACAATCCCCACAAACCTGCCCTGAGGGCAGCCTGGTCTGTCTAGGCAACTATTTATTTGGGCTCTCTTTGAAGGTGATTTTAGGTTGTGCCAAGCTGGCATTTAAAACTAACCACCACAGTGAAAGTATTTCCATTATAGAAATCAACAAAGGCTAAGCAGTAGGAGTAATGTTTTCCTGAGAGCTTACACCACTGCATAGCAAGAACTCATGAAAGGCAGCAATTGGTACTGGCAAGATGGCTCACTGACTAGAGTGCTTACTGTCCTTACAGAGGACCTAGATTATGGCGCCAGCACCCTTGTCAAGTGGCTCACAGCAGCCTACAACTCCAGGTCTGTTTACATCTGATAGCCTCTTGTGGCCTCTGAGGGTGTCTGCATATGTGTGGTGCACGTAAACTCATGCAGACACACACACACACACACACAGTAGAAAAGAAATACAGCTACTATTAGTAAACTCTAGTAAAATGCATGGGGCTCAAAGGGTAAAAATAGAATGCATCTATTAGTAGAACATAAACTCACTGCTTGTTTTATGGGGAAAGTGGTAATGGATCCACTCAAAATTGATCACAGCAAAGATAAATGAACAGTCTGCTGTGGGACATGGTTCTGTGGCTCTTGCTTACTGAATTGGAGGGTATTTTGTGTTGCTTCTACTAATTCTGGTATTGTTTGGCTTATAAGAATACACCATCAGGGCTGGAGAGATGGCTCAGCAGTTTAGAGCACTTGCTGCTCTTGCAGGGGACTTGGGTTCAGTTCTCAGCACCCACATTGGGCGGCTAACAACCACCTTTCCCAAGAGATCTAACATCTTCTTCTGCCCTCCATGAGCACAACACACACACACACACACACACACACACACACACACACACACACACACACACACACGTCTCTCCTCGAAGACTGCATTCCTCAGTGTTTACATGTGGTGATGCTAGCCCTCTTCCCAGTTGTTCTGATTGGCCTGTGATCCTTGTTTGTTTTTCACTGAATATCATTTCTCCCTCAACCTAACACCACCAAATTCTCACAGGAAAATCCGTGTCCCATGGACAGTAGCATTAGAGGGTGGAGCCTGTGGGATGTGATCAGGTCATGAGAGTAGGGTTTTCATGAATGTAGTACTCTGATGAAACAGGCCCAGAGAGTGCCTTTGCTCTTCCCACCAAGCACACAAAGATTATACATGTCTATGAACCAGAAGGCTGCCCTCAGCAGACACTGAACCCTCCAGCACCATGACCTGGGTCTTTTTGCCTCGGTGAGTTTCTACTGTTTATAAACCACTCCTTTTTTGTAATAGCAGCACACACAAACTAAGATTCTCACCATGATTGCAAATTTTTGTGATAGTTCACTCAACAGTAAACAAAATTGTTAATTAACAGTGGCATAGGCAGGCTTACATGTGTTTCCCTAAATGAAATAAGCAGTTTGATGAGTCAGCTGCGACAAAGACAATTAAGAGAGCCCTGCAGAGCATGGTTGAGAACAACGCTGGCTTTCTTCTCTGTGTGGTGGGATGACTTGAGAACATCACGATTCACAAGGTAAGACAGGAGGGGGAAATCCCACACCATCATTGCCATATCTCCATTTTCCTGTAAAGTTTATGCATGTTCAGTAAGGGGTGTTGCAAGATGGCATTTGTGAGCAGGGAAAGGCAAGAAGTCTCTACACCACTGGTTCTCAGCCCTCCTAATGCTGTGACCCTTTAATACAGTTCCTCATGCTGTTGTGACCCCAACCATAAAATTATTTTCATTCGTACTTCATAACTTTAATTTTGTTAGTTATGTAAATATCTGATGTGCAGGATATCTGATATACAAACCCTGTGGAAGACTCATTCAACCCCCAAAGGGGTCATGACCCACAGGTTGAGAACTGCTGTTCTACAGTGTTTCTATAGCATTTTATATTTACTTTGCTTTACTTTTAAAATCTTTTTAAAGATTTATTTCTTTTTATGTGTATGGCTGTTTTGCCTGCATGTATGTGCATAACATGAGTGCAGTGCCCAAAGAGGTTAGAAGAGGGTTTTGGATTCTCTGGAAATGGAATTATTGATGGTTGTGAGCTCCTATGTGGGTACTGGGAATTGAACCAGGGTCCTCTACAAGAGCAGCAAGTGTTCTTTTAACCATTGAACCAACTCTCCAGTCCTTATATTTTATATTTGTCTCAGGCTTTATTGAAAAGATAGTGGCTCATGTCTGGATTTTCTAGCAGCCTGATTTGGTTTGAAAGAGAACCATACACACACACACACACACACACACACACACACACACACACACACACACCACCACCACCACCACCACCACCACCACCACCACCACCACCACCTCCACCAAGTGTGTTCAGGCATCCTGAATTAACTCATAGAAGAGTAAGAAGAGTAAGAAGCTACTGAACCAGCCTTAAGCCACTGACCAAGCCTGAAGGGAAGAAACTAAAGATGTGTCTATGGAAGCTAGAATGGAAAGACAGGGGTGGAAGACATGGAGATGGAGAAGCCCGTCCCTTCTTCTGGTCAGCAAAATTGACGCATTCCCTCGTGCCCTCTGTTCAGAGCACGTAGGTCCTTTGATGTTTACTGTTTTTCTTTCTCTGCTTTCTGAACCCTGGATCTGGTATCTCACGTCCATGATGGTGATCCAGACATTAAGCCCTGTGTTCACATTGGGAGATAGATGGAACCATGTCCTGATGTCATGTTGACTTTAGCCTTGCCCACCAGTCATGGCTGTTTGGTGTGGATTTGAAATCTGCATACTAGATATGACTCCAGGTAACTTAGTTGATTTTTTTCTCACTGCCCCCTGTATTTAGGGGACAAGATGCTTTCCTCAGTGTGTGTGTGTGTGTGTGTGTGTGTGTGTGTGTGTGTGTGTGTTTGATCACATGGAGGGGGTGCATACCAGGGGTCAACCACAAGTGTTTTCCTTAGAAGTCACCCACACTTCTTTGTTGCTGTAGGATCTCTGGGACCTGGAACTCACCAGGTGGGATTTTTCTTTCTGTCCCTCTTCCACTCTGGAGTTCCAGAGCTGTGACTCCACCAGAGCTGGACTGTGCCACCACACCTGACTTTTGCATACAGTCTGAGACTCTGACCCCAGGTACTCATGTTTGCATGGTCAATGCTTTTTCCACTAAGCCATCTCCCCATTCCTCCTATTACATTTTAAAATATTTCTTAATTATCTACTCGTTTCCTGTCAACTTTATTGGAGCCTAATTTACATGCAATAAGACCGAGAAGAACTGGACAGCCTGAAGACTGGCCTGTCCTCTTTGAGGTACCACCGGAACTGAACAACTTGATCTGACTAGAAAAGCTCCCTTCTGCCACTTGGTCTCATCGCTGTTTAGGACCAGCTAGGCAACCAGTCATAGCCCAGTTTTCTCCTCTTATGAACACAATCCAGCCATATACCTGTGTTGGCCTCTTTTTGCTCTATATACAATACTGATTTCAGTGTCCCTCACTGCTGAACTGGTGAGTAAATCTGAGGCTTTTTCTCTCATTATAAATGGGGGACCTGGCATAGGAATACCATACCTGTTCTGTTGTATCTTTCTGAGGCCAGAGGAAGGGAGGGAGGGAGGGAGGAAGGGAGGGAGGGAGGAATGGAGGGAGGGAGGGAGGGAGAGAGGGAGGGAGGGAGAGAGAGAGACAGAGACAGAGAAAGAGTGAGGGTGGAAAGAGGGAGAGAGAGAGAGAGAGAGGGAGGGAGGGAGAGAGAGAGATTAAAAGGAGGGCTTGTATCCCACAGACTGTCACCCATCCTTGGAGTTCCTTAGGCAGCCGGTCACACTTGTTTGTACATGTCTGGGTTGATGGACTTGTCTGTGGATGCATTCTCCACCTTCTGAGGACTTCAAATATCACACAGCAGAAGTAGCTGCCAATATCCATCAGAGAAGAGAGAAGATAGATCCACAGATGCTTGAACCAAGGGCAGAAAGTTGCACAGGGTAGGGAGGAGCTGGGGATGCTGAATCAAAGTGCCACCTTTGGTCGTGGGAAATTTTAACATGAGGGTGATGCCAAAACCTTCAAAGTCAGGGGCCTGGGGAGTCAGAGAGTATGACTGAGTCAAGGGCAGGAAGTGGATGGAGAGGTCCACCATGACAGCAGAAGAGAAGGTGAATATATACATCACGGGAGAAGCCCGGTTCTCAATCTGGGAACACTGGGGATAAAAGGGAATAGCCTATGGCAGGAAGATAGACCAAGCTCCACCTACAGAGCCTTGAGCACCAAGCACAAGACTCGCTGAGCAAGTTCAGACACTGGCATGACATTGTTGATGTCTTAGTGATGAGTTAGCTGCCAGCTCTCCAATCAAGCATCAAAGGTAGCAATGATCCCACCAGCATTGCTGGCAAGTATCTGAAACTTAGATCAGATGAGTAATTGCATTAGGTCACAGCACAGGGGATGCCAGAGTCAGGAGCCACAGGACCTGGGCTGACTCAACCCTGGATACCGTGGACTTTGCACAAAAGAGGTGTAACTACAGATAATGGGTGGGTTCCTATTAACTATTGTTCCTTGAAAGTCACTATGAAAATAGAGTCTGGCTCTTTGCTTTTAAGTGACTGAAAGGCTGTAGAAACATTATCAATAATGGTATTAATGTTATGTGATATTTCAGTGATTATTCTTTTTTTAAGTTATTTTATATACATTGTGTCACTACATCTTCAGTGTAATCTTGAGACTTCAGCAAGCCATTATTATTATTATTAATTACCATTTCCTTATTATTTTACTAAGACTACTGTTATTCTGGATTTTTTCCCCAAGAGAGAAAAGGACATCCAAAAGTATTAAGAGCTTTCCTAAAGCACTAAAGGTAGTTGACTAGTCAGGACTCTAACCTTAGATTCTTTGATGTATTTCAATCACTTGCTAATGGGGAATGAGGAGGAATGGTTGATCAGATGTATTTGTCTAGAAAACTGTGTTGCTGACCAGTAGGCTTCATATTCATGCTCTCCCCAACATATTGTCAGCCTGGTTGGGGCAAAGAAGAGGGTTTAGAATGAGTTAGGCTTAGAGTCTGCTTCAGGGGGTTAGACTGTGACACTTAAGCTTCTGGTCAGTGTGGACATTTGTCCTCCTATGACTCTTGGAGACACTGTCAGAAAGGAAGCTGCATTTGATAAGAACAGAATAGAAGATTTATACAAGAAAGGTGTGTGTGTGTGTGTGTGTGTGTTCCAAAGTCATCTCTATAGGAAGATGGCTCTTGCAGCTCTACCTCCAAGGGACCATGGCTTGTCTCTACACCCTGGCCCCTACCTCTCTGCCCACTGCTCTAGGCTGAAGCTTATTTTCTTTTTTATTTGTTGTTGCTGTTGTTATGGTGTGTGTGTGTGTGTGTGTGTGTGTGTGTGTGTGTGTGTGTGCGTGTTATATCCACATGTGTATGTGTGCATGCAGGCCAAAGCATCCTGTTTTATCATTCGATGCCTTAATCTCTTGAGACAGGGTCTTTTTCTGCTCTTGAAGCTAGGTTGACTGTTAGAAAGTCCCAATCACCTTCTTCCCTCCTCCCATTATGCCTAAGTTAGAGCCTTGCACAGCAACACCACATTTTTTTACATGGGTACATGGTTGCTGGAGATTTGAACTCAGATCCTTATGTTTGCATAACAAGCACTCTTACCCACTGAATCACCTCCCCAAACCCTCTGAAGTCTCTTTTAACTGCCTGCCTTGGCCTACTCAGCCTGGGTGAGTCCTAGATAAACAGGTCCAGGCAGGCTGTGACAGTGACCCAGGGCCTAGCTGAGAACAAAAGGGACTTCAGGAGAGGATGCCTGGAGGGAGTGTGCCACTGTCATCACTTTGCTCCAAGTAGGTTTTGTGTAGCCAGGCATCAGGAGGGTGAGTCAGTGACCAGTCATGAGAAACGGGAGCCATACAACAGAGTTGATGCCGAATCCTGTGGAAGGGCTGGGCCTCCCGTGCCCCAGGCTCTTCACACACCTTACTGTCTAATTTGGAATATCCCCAGAAGTTTGTCGGCTTTGTGTCATGTGAGCAGTCCTTTATGCCAGATTGCTAAACAACCTGAGTGAATGGAGCTTCTTGTGCTTCTGTCTCCATCACGAAAGCCCCAGCTTCCACTTTAAGCTATGCAACCCCACCTTCATCAAAGCCGCCACCAGTCCACCACCCAGCCCTACTCCAGCTCAAGTCACTTCAAACACACAGTGCGGTTCAGGGGCTCTACAAAGGGATCTTTTGGGATGGGGAGATAGCTGAGTAGGTAAAGCAATTGCCTTGCAAGCATGAAGACCTGGGTTTGGTTCCCAGACACTACCTTAAAAAGACCAGATATGGTGACACCCTCATGTAATCCCAGCACTGAGAAGGGAAAGACAGGCAGGTCTCTAGGAATCACCGACTGGCCAACATAGCATAAGTTCTAGGCAAGTGAGAGAAGCTGTCTTCTAGCCTCCCCACAAATACACACACACACACACACACACACACACACAGAGAGAGAGAGAGAGAGAGAGAGAGAGAGAGAGAGAACAACTTAAATAAATCTTTCTCCTATACAATTTTCTATGCATATGTTCACTTCTCTCCGCTCAGCAATGGCCAGGTAGTCAGCTTATGATGAGCATCATTGGTCATGGCCAGGAATAAAAGACGTTTAATGAGGCATCTGCTTTTAGATCACAGCATCTGGGTTAGAAGTAGAAAGAGGCTGCTGCATCCTTGCTCTCTACTCAGTAGACAGATACAGGGATTGTCAGTGATAGTAATTAGTACATACTTTTCTCCTGGGACAAGTTTGCTGGCAATTTCTCAGCTTGAAAGTCAAAGAGAAATAGTCTTATGTGCAAACATGGACTTTGTGTGTGTGTGTGTGTGTGTGTGTGTGTGTATTCAAGTGTGAGGGTGCACATGAATTTATGCATGTACACATGTGTAGATGAAAACCAAAGGCATGTGGGCTATCCTTCTTCAGTCACCACCACCTTGTTTTTTTAAGACAGACTCTCCTGCTAGCCTGGACCTCAATAGACTAGACTGACTGACCAATGTCCAGAGATCTTCCTGTCCCTGACTTCGCCAGGGCTGGGATTACAAGCACACCACCATACCTGTTTTGTTTTGTTTTAAACAAACAAACAAAAAACCATGGATTCTTGGGATGGAACTCGGGTATTCATACTTGTGAAACAAACCCTCTACTAACTGAACTGTCCTGCAGGCTCAGCCATGACTTTTCAATCACTTCACAATGTCCCCATTCTCCAACCTCCCAGTGTCCTTACCGAAAGGGCTCTGAGCTGTGAAGAATTGCTAGGGAGAGGAAGGAGTGTTTCGAGGGGGCTCAAGGCGAAGTCTTCAGAGTCCTTTGAATCAGAGTGAGTCACTGTTCTGAGCCAACTGACACGGGCTGCAAACTGCAAGATTAATGGTGATGGGTAAGCTATTGAAGCCCCAGGGCATGAAGCCTCTAGATCCCTTCCCTCACCCACACACGCCTTTTCATGAAAACATGATAAAGAGGAAGTAGTCAAGGGTAAGTCAGCTTAGGATGCTGTCAGGTTTGTTTGATAGTTTTTCTTTCATGTCCAATTATTTCATTGTCTTACTACACGTACATATACAAATATGTACAAGTGTGCTATATGCATACATAAGTATGTACACATATCTACTCATTCTTAGATGAATGCATAAGAAAGGACTTGGAAGGAGGCACTAACATTAGTCCCATCTACTGAAGAGGGAACGTGAGAGATCTGCCCCAGAACTCTAGCCCCCACTGACATGGGTGTCACCTCCCCAAGAGTGCCTGTCACTGTAGCTCTAACCCTAGACAGTCGTCATCCATCTAACCCAGCAAGCAAGACATGGACCTCCATCTGCATGACACTTGTGTGCAACACATGGACAGCCACATGGTTCCAGAACGGGAAAACACTCCTTCCCCTTCCTGTACCAGTTGCATGGGATGGTGTGGCTCCAATGGTTGGCTTGGCTCTGTTGTTGATCTTACTGGTTAATTTCCTCCAGTTCCATCCTTCATTCTCAGAACCCTCTGTCCCATTGTTTTGGCAGAAACAGTCTATGAAACGACTCAGAAGGGGAACTAAACATTTTAGTGGGAAAAGATGGGAAATTTAACAAGGAGCTGACTCCATTCCTTCAAGAACTGAGAATGAACCCTGGCACATACAGACGAAATTTCAATGGAGATTTGTCCATGGCATTTAGACTAAGAAAAACTCTGAAAATGCCACATGCTCATAAGAATCTAGTCAGGGTGGCCAAACAGACAGATGGACAACATCTGAGGGGCAAGAGGACAAAATAAGATGCTCTCTAAACCCGTGAGTGGTAGCAGCTGTCAAGCGTGGGCTCATTCATCTCATATGCCTGACGCCTCAGGTAGAGAGGAGGCAGCTATGAGATGGCCACCTCGTGACAGCCTCATTCAATCTGGGATTCAGAACTCCTGGTTCAAGTGGCAGAGATTTCAGTTCTACTTTTTGCCAGGACTTCTTTAATTTTATATTCTGTATGCACGGTTGTGTGCATGTATGTGGAGGTCAGGGCACAGCCTTAGGAATGCCAGGCACTTCATTTTCTTGGTTTTGAGACAGGGTCTCTCACTGGCCTGACCACGTTAAACTAGCATGGCTGATCAGTGAGCCCCATGGATTCTCTCTACCTCCCCAGTGCTGGTTTTCTAAGAACCTCACCATTTTAAAGTGTGTGCTGGGAATCAAACTCATGTGGGAGTCTGCCAGACAAGTACTCGGACAACTGAACCATCTCCCCAGTCTCCTGTGCTTTATAGCTTGGCTTTGTTCTTTACTGTTGCCTTTCTTTCCCTATTTCTCTACAAGAACCAAACAATCTTGCTCTCCCAGCTTCACAAAGCAGAAAGGGTTCCAAGAGGAAATTGCTTCACAACAAGGGAACCCTGGGAAGAAACAAAGACTGGGAAACCCTTGCCATGAGATTAAGGGGGAAATGCCTTGATGCATCCATCCACTCAGACCCAGTCTCCTACTGCAGAAAAGCCAGAACAAACGCAAGCATTGTTTCAGGAAGGAAAAGGTTAACAAGCTACAAAAACAAAATTCAAGATATTTTCACAGCATGACCCTTGGCAGAACGAGTAGAATGCAATCGGCCTGTGTATGGCAGCAGAACATTTCCACTGGGCACATTCGAGAAAGCCAAGACTCAGGAAGAAAAGGACATCCTGCTCTCAGCCCCCACTTACAAATGAACTTTGGAGGAGGCCTGGGAAGATAGTTCAGTTGGCAAAGAGCCTGCCATGAAAGCATGCAGACCTGAGTTTACTTCCCAGAACCCATGTTTACTGCCTAGATTTATGTCACCTCGACACAAGCTAGAGTCATCTGAGAGGAGGAAGCCTCAACTGAGAAAATGCCTCCATAAGATCAGGACATAGGCAAGCCTGCAGAGCATTTTCTTAATTAGCGATTGATGGGGAGGGCCCAGCCCATTGTGGGCAGTACCACCCCAGGGTGTCCTGGGTTCCGTAAGAAAGCAGGCTGAGCAAGCCATGTAGAGCAAGTCAGTAAGCAGCACCCTTCCATGGCCTCTGCATCAGCTCCTGCCTCCAGGGTCCCACCCTGTTAGAGTTCCTGTCCTGACTTTTTTCAGGGACAGACTGCAATGAGGAAGGAGGATAAGCCGAATAAACCCTTTCCTCCTCAACTTACTTTCTGGCCATGGTGTTTCATCACAGCAATAGACACCCTGGCTAAGACACCACGTAAAAATGTTGGGCATGGAGGACACACTTGTAGTCATAATCCCAGTGCTGGGGAGGTGGGATGTGGGGACTCACAGGCCAGCTGGACTAACTTCATTGTGGGCTCCAGAAGAGTGAGAGACCCTGCCTCAAAACCACAAAATAGAGGGACAGAGAGGGCTCGGTGATTAAAAGCACTTCCTGCTCTTCCCAAGGCCACGAGTTTTGTTCCCAGCACCTGCATCAGGTGCTCACAACTGCCTGTAACTCCAGCTCCCAAGAATCTGATGCCACTATAGCTTCCTGGGCACCTGTACTAGGGTCATGTACCCACATGCATGTGCACACCCCCCCCACACACATATATAACTTAAAATGATAAAACTAAATCTAAAAAGAATCACATGTAAGAGAAATCTTTGTGTTTAGGGGGGAAACACAGGGTTCATGGTGCCTGAGAAATAACACTCAAGGTTGACCTCTGATACACACACACACACACACACACACACACACACACACACACACACACACACACTGAGCTCAGAAAACAATCCCTGTGAGTCAGGAAGAGGTTGGGGAACCTGTTTTAGTCTTCTCTTGGGAAAAAACACTGTGCTACAAATAAGACTCCTAGCTTTGCTTCAGACTCGGTCAGTTAATGATTCTGGGAAGAAAACTCACGCCTTGAGTTTTTCATCCCTTTCCTGGATTGGTCAGACTTGCTGTCTTGGTTACTTTTGTCTATTGTTATTGTGAGACACCATGACTAAGGCAACTTACAGAAAAAAAAAAAGAGTTTATTTGGGGCTTACAGTTCCATAGAGCCAGCCCACAACCATCGTGGTGAGGAGCGTGGCAACAGGTAGACAGGCTACTGGAGCAGTAAGACACACAGAGAGAGAGAGAGAGAGAGAGAGAGAGAGAGAGAGAGAGAGAGAGAGAGAGAGAGAGAGAGAGAGAGAGAGAGAGAGAGAGAGAGAGAGAATATGTACTAACTGGGAACAACATGGGGTTCTGAAACCTCAAAGCCCACTCTCAGTAACACACCTCCCTAAACAAGGCCACACCTCCTAAGCCTTCCCAAACAGTTCTGCCAAATGCAAACCAAGAGTTCAAATACCCAAGCTTGTCGGTGCCATTCTCATTCAAACCAACACACCATCACTGAAAAATATTTTTACAAAAAAACCTAAGGGGGAAAGGGTTTCTTTTGGCTCCATTTCAGAGGGGTCAAGATATCTCTTTTGGTTCTGTTGATTCTGGGATCATGGTGAGGCTGCTCACCTCAGGATACATAAAACAAATGTGCACACACCTGGGATATGATATATAGCTCCCGATGGCACTCCCACCTGGGGATAAACTCTTCAAAAACACGAATGCTTTATGAGGACATTTTGCCTCCAAAAGATAAAATGAATATATAAATATTGTTTATGGAACATCGCAGTTGTGTGTTCAGCTATGATGGTATACATGCAAGAGCCAAGAGGAAGCCACAGGGGGTGTCTCTTTGCCAATTATCTAAGCCCCCCACCCCGATGCCCATGAGGATCCAGGTTCTCTTTAACATGCCCACTGACAGTTAGTCATGAACTCTGTTTGTGACAGCGACAATCAAGGTTTTATAAACACAATCAAAAGTCAAGCAAGAGACAGAAACAGACCAAGGTGCCAAGGCACTCTGCACCAGCTCCACTCACTTCTTCCACCAAGGCTTAACCCTCACTTGTCACATGAGGTCCTTGCTCTGCTTGGCTGATGGGCTGTGCTTGACATTTGAAATGAACTTTCTGGACTTGGCTCCAGCTGAAACGGCAGAGCCCATTCCTAGCACGTCTGTGATTATTTTGCCAGCGGCGCCTCACATCACTGCCTGGTGGATGCCCAGGTCTGAATCGTAGCAGTCATTTTCACACATCAAAAAATAGAGCTATGGACAGGGGCAGCTGCAGTCATTAGGTGTCAGTCCCATCCTCTTTTTTTTTTTTCTTTCTGAGACTTGTGACAACTAGCCAGGAAGTTTGATGGCATTGACCCTGGTGTGAGTAGCTATAAAAGTGATTACATCACCCACTCTTTTATCCACAGGGACAAGGGTGTGCTGTGTGCTCATTGACCTTCCAGTTAACTTCTAGATAACTATTAAGTACCAAGAGTTTTTTGTAACTTAATATGAAGTTAATTGTCCTTTTTATTTCTAGTTCTATCCATGAGACTTCAATTCACTGTCTAGATGAAGTATTCCTCTCATATTCACAGACGTGAGGTTTCTCTGCTTGTATTCAGGATTACCTGAAGTAGAAATGATTAAGCCTAGGCCAGACTCCTCTCACACTTGTGTGAGAGTCCTTCCCTTCTTCCTGGGCACCACTGTCAAGAGTCCATCAGACTGGAAGAGGATCTAATCCACAAAGCACCTCACAGGAAGTAAGCTTGGTATCCACTTTTGTTCTCCCTACAATGATATTTGTACCTGAACTTCAAAAGTCTGCTGGGGAGACGGCTGAGTCAATGAAATACTTGCTAAGCAACAAAATAAGGACCTGAGTTTACCTTCAGAGTCCAGGTGAAAAGCTAGGCATGGTGGTAAGAATTTGTAACCCCAGTACTGGGGAGGCAGACAGGTGGATCCTGGGAAGAAGCTGGCTAGTCAGTCTAATCTACTTGGCAAACTCTTGGCCAGTGAGAGATCTTATCTCAAAATACGAGGCAACTGGCTCCTACGGAAATAACTGACACTAGAGACTGACCTCTGGCACATTCACACATGTATTCAAACACATATGTACACCTAAATGAGCACGCACATGGGTGTGGGGAGAACAAGAGAGTGAGAGAGAAAATCACACTCATGTTTAGCTGTTTTAGACTGTTTCTCACACTTAAATACATCTGAGGGCCTCTGGACACCTCACTCAGCTAACGGACATCTCAGACTCAACATGGCCCCTGTAGAGCACCTCCTCCCCAGGCTCACATACCTGCATCCACAGCCCTCCACCTCAGCTGGGTCCCATCATCCTTCCCGTGGCTCAAGCCTCACAACTTCCTTGTCCTCCATTCACTTCTTCATTCCCACCCACACCCAGACTCTCAACCAACCTGGGTCGTTTAAAGCGTTCCCAAGACCCTCTTCCTGCTTCAGATTCATGGTGTCACCCTGAGCTTCCACACTCTGTCCCCTGGATTGTGGCAGTAGACTCGTGTGTGTGAGTGTGTGTGTGTGTGTGTGTGTTTGTGAACAGGAGCAAGTGTGTATGTGATGTGGAGGTCAGAGGTCAAACTTGGGTGTTGTTCTGCAAGCACTGTACCTCTTGTTTTCCTCCCTCCCTCCCTCCTTCCCTCCCTCCCTTCCTTCCTTCCTTCCTTTCTTCCTTTCTTCCTTCCTTCCTGTCTTTCTTTCTTTCCTTCTGGTTTTGTTTTTGTTTTTGGTTCTTTTTTTGAGACAGGGTTTCACTTTTTAGCTCTGCCTGTCCTGGAACTTGCTTTGTAGGCCAGGCTGGCTTCAAACTCGTAGAGATCTGCCTGCCTCTGCCTCCTAAGTGCTGAGATTAAAGGCGTGCACCACCACTGCCCGGCTCCCTTCCTCTCTTGATTTCTAGGACAAGGTCTCTCAATGAACCTGGAGCTCACCGAGTAGGTGCTATGGCTGGCCAGCAAGCCCTGGGGATTCGCCTCTGTCTGTTTTGTCCTATAAATCTCTGTTTCTTCTTCCTCCACACACCAGCCAGGGTAGTCCTGTGCAAATGTAGAGCAGATGTTGTTATGTCTGCTCTGGACACAGTGAAAGCTCCTGGAACACCCAGGAAAGGGTGGCAGACCTGAGAGAGAATTTACTACCTCTCCAGTCTTCTGGCTTCCTCCCTGCCCAATTTTAATCCAGCTCAACCACACTGGCCTCCCTGCTTCTGCTGCTAGCCAGGCATACTCCTACCCAGGGATCTTTACCTTCCTCCCTTCCTTGTGGCCCCCTCCCACCCTGCTAGGGCTCTGTCTATTCCTTTCCTCTTAGAGCCTTCTCAGTCCTCTCTCAGGGTCTCATGCTGACCTCACCCTCACTTGATCACTCCCAGAATTCTTGCTCCCTCCTCTAGCACTCTGATCTGTCTGTCTTCCGAGACATGGAGTTAGGGATCTTCATCTGTTTTATTTGCTGTGTCCCTAGCTGTGGTTGACACATAGTAGGTCCTTCTAATTGCCATTAGGTTGGGTAGTGGCTCGAGGGGCCAGTGCACACTGTTGGGGAGAGCATGGATTTAAAACTTGGTGGTGTGAGCTGAAGCCTGCTTGGGCTACTTCCTAACACTATGACCTTGGGCAAACTATGTTAGCCCTTTGAGCCAGTGGATGGATGAAACAGAGCCATAAACCAGTCAAGACAGTGCCTAATGTATGGAAGGCACTGTAGGCTGTTTGTGGCATAGTTATGACTCCTGTCTATGCCCATCCCTGCCATAACAGAGCAGTTACCTCCAGAGTCCCTTTTATCCCTCCGTCTACAATCAGACTGTAAATTGAGGCCCAGATGAGCCACCTTTGCCACCTGACACTCTCCTCTCTGGCTGTTCCATCTGGTCACAAGGAAGTGGAAAGTAGCTCCATCACAGCTAAAGCAATCATGCTCACCAACCCTAAGCCCAGCTTCCACATTCCGTAAAAAAGAGTGGATCTACACTGCCAGATGAAGGCTGCCTTCTTGTACCCATCCTTCTCCCAGCTGTCTCAAGTTGGCATCACTTTGGGGGCAGTCAAAGGGTTTCTTGGTTCAGCTGATAGCCTGGGAGGATCTCTCTACCAGGAGACAACCAGCAGTTTTGGATTTTCCAGAAAAGTTAAGTCACAGACTGGGCTTGCCCTGAAGTAGTGAGCTCATAATCCCTGCAGTTCCAGGAGCAGCGGGACCGCCCGTCAGTTAGGATGACCAAGCTCTGAGACAGCCTCCTCTTCACCTCTGAGACTCCAGTGCTTACGGCACTGCTTCCTCTTCTCATCCCTGACTCCCTCCCCACCTCAGACACTTGACCCAGGTCTCGACAAGGCAAGCAACTCTGCCTTCCCACAGCATGTCCACGTTCTCCCTGGTCAAGACAAAGAGAGTGCCTGGAGGCCTCAGAGACCAAAGGGCAGATGTGGCAGAGATGGCAGATGTGCTTAGCTAGGTGAGAGCACATGCAGCCAAGCAGCCATGCTCTCAGGAAACATCCCACACTTTATGCAGACGAGGCTGGCATAGCAGGCTCTGAGCATGATGGAAGGGTATAAGTGCAGCACAGGCAAAGAATGTGTAGTCTTTCCATTTGGGGATCTGTTAGCAACTGCTTGATATGCAGGGCACGGCCAGGGGCAGGGGTAGAAAATACACCTGTCAAAGGATGTTTCCACAAATACAAGGAACCTGGGCCTAAAGTCACATTGCTGCTTTTGTGATGTTTCTCTGCAGTTCTTTACACCCAGTTCCCAAAAGGGTCCATCATGAGAGTGTGTTGCCATGGCAACAGGCTCCATAGGGGAGCCACTTGGCATTACCCAGAATTCGCATCTATGTGTGCTTCTCTCTCTTCTTTCCCTCTCTTTTTATCTGTAAATGGAAAGCAGTTTCTGGGTGAGCAAAGCCTCTCTCCACCTGACAATTTCCAGGAAAGAGAGAAGAGGAGATTTCGTCCTGGGGGGTCCGTCCACAAATTCCTTTTCCATACTCTCACCCAGGACTGGCATGAGTAACCCTGGAGAGGACCACTGCTGAGGCAGACAAAAGGACTAGGAGCTCCTCTAGGGAGGGCTAAGGCTCCCATAACACCCGACCTTTGTTTCAGAGGCTCTTTAGAGGCACAGCAGTTCACCTAAGGCTTTTACAAAAACCACCTGACTGCAGATTGGGCAAGGCAAGTGGGATGAGGGCCAAGTCAAAGTCAAAGACAAGGCATGACCCTGAGCTTCTGACCACTCTTGCACAACCTAGACTGCTCCTTTAAGCCCCGCCCCAGCCCCTGTATTCCCTGTTTTACAGTTCCTTCCTATATCAAAACCCAAAGCTAGGGATGAACAAACAGGCAAGGTCAAGGGTAGCCTGTCCAGAGTGGGTTGGAGGTCAATGCAAGATTGGCCAGGACCCTCTGTACCTCCTTCACAGAGTCCTGCCAAGTCAGACAATGACAGGGGCTAAACTTGCCCACCTTCTCTTCTTGCTCCTCCTTCCTGCAAAACCAGCGTCATTACATTTCTGCCTGTACCCAGCACCACACAAGAGAGGTGCCAACTGCTCAGACTTGCTATTGGTAGGAAAAGGGACTTCTGAAACCTGTCATTAAAATACCTTTTTAGAGGAAGTATTATTGGTCTGTACTTTCATTTCTTTTAAAAAAAATGTATATCTTTAGTTTTTAAGTGTATAGCATCAAGATGTTAAAATGTTATACAATACTTACTATGTAAATTCTCCCTTCCATTCCAATTCCCTTCTAGAACCCAGTGGAAGTTATCAGTTTTTGTTAGAGGTGTTTAACCCAGGAACAGAGGGCGGTGGCTCTGTCAGTAAAGTGCTTGCTGAGCGCAAAGCATGGGGACCGGAGCTCGGTATTCAACACTCACGGAAAAAAAAGTCTAGGTGTGATGGCTTGCACACACAATCCCAGTGCTAGACAGGTAGAGAGAAGAGGCTCACTGGGAACAGGTTGGCCAGCCTAGCCTAATCAGTGAGCCCCAGGCTGCAGTGAGAGACCCTGTCTCAAAGTCATCCTGAAGAGTGACATCTAAGGTTGACCTCCTGCCTCCTCATGCATGTGCATGCACACACACACACACACACACACACACACACACAGAGAGAGAGAGAGTGAGAGAGATTGCATTTCATTTTTCCTGCCTCTTCATAGTGATTCCTAATAAGCAGGTTTGGTACTTAGAAGACCTGACCAGTAAGTATATCCATATTTATGTTGAGCAAACCCCTGAATTGTCACACCACAGTCATACTATTTCTTTTTGTTTGTTAAGTTTAATTTTACACAGTCACCTTCCTTTCCCATCACTCCATAGGATAATGGGGAAAGGACCCAGAAAGCCAGCTTATATTGCTCCTTCCCTCCTGGCAAGGGACATATAATTAGTGCCATTTTTGAAAAACAATGACAAATCACATACCTAGAACTGACCAGTTAGAGAACTGATATTCTTTCTGTAGATATAGACAGCAGTGGGAGTGTGCCAGCTATTCTCCAAGGGACAGTCCCAGGCCTCTGGCCCCCAGTGGAGAGGAGGGCAGTGGGGGACAAGGATGGACTGTGTCGAGGAGGTCTCTGGATCCTGATGAGAGAAGGAAAGAACCAACCCAGACTCTTTATTTGACTTTCACTAACTCCATCCATATTTCAGTCCAAGCTGCCCAAAATGGCTCATGTGGGCAGACAGGGTCTGAGTCAGCCAGTCAATAACAGCTACAGAGTGTTCCCTGGGCACAGAGCTAGCAGCTTGGAGCTGTGCTACTGGAAACAAGAAATACACAGTTTCAGTCCTGCCCCTATGGAGCTGCAGAGATGAGGGCAGTGAGCCAGGAGGATGCTCCAGAAGAAGACTGTGAAGTCCATTAGCACAAACCAAGATAAAGGAGCAGGAGGGGGCCAGGCCCAGACAAGCTGTCTCCCCTCTGGAAAGGGAGGGAAGACTGGGGTGTCTCTCAGGCTCAGGTGACACTGGAGGTAGCCTAACACAGCTGCATACCCTACAGGTAAAGGGGGCCTTCCAGCAACTTCTGCCCCTGGACCACCATCTCATTGCTTTCCCTGGAGAGAGGTTAACCAATGATCTATTCAGCCTAGATAAGGTACCCACAACAGACCAGAGGACAATTCCACCCGAGTCCAACCTGGTGAGCCAAGGAATTTATTTGGTGTATGTAAAGGAAGGTGGGGAAGGGAGATTTATAGCAGTGTGGGCGACTCAAAAACACCAGCATCACCAAAAAGTCCCATGGTAGCATGGCTGATGATGTCACAGAAGCTGAATTATTGACTGTGGCCCTCAGTCAATAATTAACCATCTACCTCCTGGATAACCTAGCATCACCCAACATCACAGGCAGCTGGGAGGCTGGACAGAGTACGGACTAGGTGAGGGTTCCATGATGCCTCTCCTACTTGGCAACATTAGCAGCTCCATTACCATAACCACAGGTCTAGGTATCACAACTACTTGTTTTGTTGCCATGACTATGGGGCCAAGGTTTTGTCGGCCTCACAATGACCAATGCTATGATCACATTGTGATAGGAAAAAAGTTATATGGCAGCCATGGTGTAGGGAGAGAGTTTAGACCAGAAGCCCAAAGATGGGGATAAAGGTAGGGAATGGTGAACCAGGTAGCACCTGGAGAAGGGATCCAAGAAGGGACCTCACATTTCAGGCTCGACTGAGGTGAAAGCTTCTAGCAAGGCTGTATCAGAAGTCAAGAGGCTGTTTAAAGATGACCTGAGGAATCTGCAATGGCTGGCAGGACCATAAGCTCATCATCATCCAAGTGTGAGTCGCCGTGGATATCTTGGGTGCTGGTTTTTATACATGTTTCTTCTTTGTGACTGCTTGGGGGCTAGCCTAGGCTACATAAAGAAACGCAGTCTTAAAAAGTCACAAATAATGTAACTGGTGTCACTCCCCTTCTCTAGCCCTGATCTACTTCTCCCTGAAGTGTGCAGGCCCGGGCTTTCAGACAATCTCCTCTGGGGAGCCCCCAAGGTAGCATTCACAAGATGCCAACCACTCTGTTGGGGCATACAGTCTGCCTAAGTATCCCGGGGCCTGGCCTGAACTGTAGTTTTAGTCCCCAGGGTCTAGTACTCCCTCTGGGTTGGTAACATGGAGCCTCCCCACCCTCAGCCCCCATCCCCCATCCTCATCCCCCATCCCCCATCCTTGAACACTTAGGCTTCTTGGGGAGGGAAGCTGTCCTAAAGAATAAGCAGACAGGTAGACCAGCAAACATCTCCGGGGGACACTAGGTGAAGACTGTGGCCCTTCCTGACTGTATGTGACTACTCTGGGCAGGAATCAGTTCCCACCTGAAGAGTCAGTCTAGTTATATTTACAATCCAAATAAACCCAAAGACGCAAGAGTTTCCTTCACTTACTGTGACTATCCTGGGATGTGACCATTTTCCTCTGTATGACTTTGAATATAGGAGAAGCTCGATTAACATATGTGACTGGACAGAGTATCTACCACAAAAGTCAGCCCATGACTGTTTTAGAGTCATATCATCTGCCTTAGGCAAAAGCTAGCAAATGCAATCCAGGCACCAGGGTGGCTCATAGCTTAGCACTGAAGCCTGGGCCAGGTGGTGAGGAGATACAGAGACTAGATGCACTATGTGCGTGTCACAGCCTGCCCTTCCTAGTTTGCCTGGGTGGAGATACAGAGGGCATGCTGGGCTGAGTTGATGGCTAGTATGCATCTTGCTTGTTGCTGCCTGGAGTTTCATGTGACTCCATACAGTCACAGGATATAGGGTTTCCTTTTCCTACTCATGGACTAAAACATAAAGTCTCTAGGCCAGCCACAGGGATAATTCTTATATTGGTATGAGAAATTGTTCCCATTATCTTTTGCACATAAAGTTGTGAGCCTGGCATGTGCCTGCAATAAACATGGTAGTTAGCATCCCTGATGGCTGCAGAACTGGGCTCCGACGAAGTAGCATGACTGAATGGGTCATTTTCTCATCCACTTTGCAGGGTTCTTTTCGTGAGGATAGTGGACTTCATCTCTAGCAGCTAGCTCAGGAAGGTCAGAATGAATCGGAGACTACCTTATTTACAGTGGTGTGTGGGTGTGGGTGGGTGTGGGTGTGTGTTTGTGCATGCACTTGCCCACACACGTGTGAAGACAGCACAGGGTTCTCTTACTGAATTGGACCTCAGTGGATGTTTCAGCTAAACTTTCCGGTTAGTGAGTGCACTGGGTCCTCCCCTCCCCATCCCCTGCTCTGGGATTATAGATGCAGGTTGCCACGCCTGGCTTTCACATGTGTGCTGGGAATCTGAACTCAGGTCTTAATGCTTACACAGCAAATGCTTTATCTGCTGAGTGGGCTCCTCAACCCTGTTTGCAGCATCTTTAAGGCTCAACTTGCTTACTCTAAGGAGTGATTTGGAGCCCTCAGCAGGCCTCTGAACTCTGAGTGTGAGTGAAGTTTCTGTTTCAGGCTCTTTTCCTTTTGTCAATGAAGAATGGTTTATTCCCTCCCAAAAGGCACTGTGCCTTGACAGCTTCTACAAGGACCATGCAGCTGCTGTCCTTGAACACACGCCCTGGGTGAAAGTGCTTTGGTGGCGCTGGCTTATGCTCTGTGATGTGTGGGGGCCTCAGGAGTAGCAGCATGCCCAGGGAGACTATTCTCCACTCCGTACTTTTCAAGTGCTGCCTTCCCTAGAGGTCCAATGACGCCTCTCACCTCCACCGTTCCCTCACAGCTGTCATGCATCCTCATAGGTGATTGACTAGTGTGTGCCCATGTTTCTGTGTGTGGGTGCACACCTGTGCATGTGTGTGAGGAGGCCCGAGATCCCTCCTTAAGTTGACATTTGGGTGTCACCTCTCATGAGCTATCCTCCTTGCTGTTTGAGACATGGTCTCTCTCTCTCTGGCCTCGTCCTCCAATGCAGATAGGCCGAGTGTCCACCTACTTCCGCCTCCCCAGCACTGGAGTCACAAGTGTGTGACCCACAGATTTCCATGTGGATTCTGGCAATCAATCCCATGCCCTCATGCTTGCATGGCAAGTACTTTACTGAATGAACCATCTCCCAGTCCTCTTTAAATGGAGATCGCCGAAGGTCAGAACAGGGAAATGGAGGTGTTGAGAGGTGTGTGTGACCTGCCCAAGGTCTCCAGATAACTGTTTGTCACGACTTCAAGCCCAACTTTTGACTAGTAAGGGCAGCCAGGCCCTGGCACCAACACTGGGGCTCTGATACTTGTAACGGTTCATTTGTGACTCACCTAGACAAATAAAGCTTTGAATTCCCTGCTGCAGATGGAAATGGGTTCCGTGACACCGAGTAGCCCCAGTTGCCCCAGTGGCTTGGGTAAATCATTGTATGTAATGTCCATGTTTCCCTTAGTGACACAGACACCTGCTGCTTGAAGAAACCTCAAGGGACCAGGCAGCCTAAGAATCAATGCAGTTACAGGATACTCAGCCACTGGCATTGTTGGATGCATTTCCTCTGGGAAGGAACCAAGACCTCGGTTGTAAATGGTGTGTACAAGAGAGGTGACCCCAAGGTCCTGTCAGAGAAAACTGGAGATGCACTGAGAGCCAACAATGCCTCTCATGCTTGCTCACACCACTTGAATAGCTGCAATACTCCCGGATCTAGACCATGCATACAGCCTTGTATGCATGTAGGTGCAGTAGGAGCCTGGGAACCAGGAAGTAGCTATCTAGATTAAAATGATGAGTAGAGGGCTGGAGAAATGGCTTAATGATTAAAGTGCCTGCACAAGCATCCCCCAACACACACACACACACACACACACACACACCCCAAAATAGGCATGGGAATGTTTACCTACTACCCCAGTACTAGAGAAGTAGTGACAGGGAATTCCAGGAGCCCACTGGTCAGTCAGTCTAACCAAAACAGCAAATTCCAGGTTCAGGGAGTGAGCTAAAAAAAAAAAAAAAAAAAAAACTAAGGTAAAAATTGAGAGGAAGACATCCAACACCGATCTTTAGCTTCAGCATGCACACACTCACCCCCCCCTACCCCTTCCACACACAAAATAAACGTTAAAAATGTGATGAGCCTGTTGATTAACATATGTTTGATCCAGGGACTCATGTATGTGTATGTCAGATGGTTTACCTCTTGACCACATGTAGCAAAAGTTGCAAGATTTAGCACATCGGAGCCTGAGTATTCATAGGGCTGCCAACCCTCAAGAGTGTTAGCAACATTCAAAGCCAGCTGCTCAATGACACCTTTTGCAAAGGAGAGACCGCTGCTAGGAGTAGGCTCTGGAGGGCCCAGGTGATTTGGCAAGTCCCAAAACACTGATTTGGGCATAGAGATGGCCAAGACCTCCCACTGTTTGAATGGATCTTTAGACTCTTCCCCACCCACCTGAGTGGAGCCTTGGAGACACTCATGAAAACAGTCACTATCTTTTCTCCTTTTCCACCTCAAGTCCTCCTGCCTAGCAGTCTGGCTCAGGGACAGCTTTTGTAGGAGATGCCTAGCAGGACTCTGCTCAGGTGGGAGCCTCAGGTAATAAGGTCTTGCCATGCAATTAAATGCAGATGTCTGGAAAATGTTCTTCAGTTCCTCAAAGACAGTTCTGTGTAAGACCAGTGATGTGTCTCCTTGACTTGTCCAGAATAACTTGAATTGTAATTGCTGTCTACTTAGGATCCCACAGCGTCTCTCACCAGTAACAGAGGCAGAACCCCTGAACATGGATTGATAGGACAGGCGTAATGTTTGCGTGGAATCGTTTCTCCCATGCAAGTTAAGCCTTTTAATGAGAGGAGAACCCCAGCATTAGGAATGAAAGATGACAGGAGGCTGGGCGTTGGTGGCACACGCCTTTAATCCCAGCACTTGGGAAGCAGAGACAGATGGATCTCTGTGAGTTTGAGGCCAGCCTGGTCTACAGAGTAAGTTCCAGGACAGGCTCCAAATCTACACAGAGAAACCCTGTCTCGAAAAAGGAAGGAAGGAAGGAAAGGAAGGAAGGAAGGGAGGGAGGAAGGAAGGAAGGAAAAAGGGAGGAAGGAAGGAAGGAAAGAAGGGAGGAAGGAAGGGAAGGAGGGAGGGAGAAAGAAAGAAAGAAAGATGAGAGAACCCTGGCAAATCACCTGCTTGCACTGCTCTCCACATGGATCTCTAGGGCTAGAAGCACATTGACCTCTGGCCCTCTTCATGCGATCAGACCTGGTTTTGCTTTCTCTTAACTCTTCAGGAAAGGCAAATCCCTCAGGATCATCTCATTTGTCCACCTGACAAATTTACCAGGAAATCGGCCTTAATGTGTAAGAGAGGGGACGTCCGGCGTTTCACAGACTGTTTCCAAAGGCTTCCACCTGAGATAGAAGGGGCCCTGGGACATGGGATGTGTACCTGCACAGCACTACTGTGGCAGAGCCTGGCCAAGGCTTCCCCTGTGATATACTCTTCCTCTTCCTACTGCTGGCCCTTGTCCATCCAGGGCTCTGCTGGAGAGAACACAGGAAGGCCCAGGATGTCAGAGCCTCTCCTGGAAGCGATCAAGGAACAAGCTCAGACATCCAGCCCCAGAATGTATTCATCCCCAGGTCCTTCCCAGGGGAAAGCTGAGAAAATGGGAGGCCACGGGCTCAGACATGTTGTGGCAAAGGCAAATGTGCTATAAGGGATGTTGACTGACTCAGTGATCTTTCTAGAAATAACCAGAGAATATCCTTCAAAGAATCGGCCCAGGATACATATGGGATGTACCTGACCCAGCCTGTAGCTGGCATCAGTCCTAAAACAAAGAGGCT